GAAACTTCTTTCGCCCCTGAACATTACACAAATTACCAATACCAGGCATTTTGATCTGACTCCATCCGTTCTCAACCCAGCTGGTGTCGGGCATATCCTGCCGCGCCTTCGGACCGAGCACCACGACTGGGCCGGACGATATCAGAAGCAGGCCATCAGGGCATCTCTGAGCGAGCTTGGAGTAGATCCAAAGAATGAAAACGGCACTCAGCAGCGAGACTGGTGCTCCAAAGTGCGGACAGTGGCTCGACCGCGTTACATGTATAACTCGTGCGGCGAAATAGCACGCCAACCTAGCTTTTCTCCCTGATTCTTTCCATAGCTGAGCTGCTTGCGTCCACTCCTCGTCTTTCAACTTTCCATAGATAGACTTGACTACGGTTGGAAGCAGCTTGGAGTTTGGGGTGTTGTAAAACATCAGCCCGGTCAAGGCTATCAATTGGTGAGTAGTGGCGGATTTGAGCTCATCGACGGCTTGGGCAGTTTGCGCGCTCTCAATCATATTAAGCAGATCGTTCAACATCTCGACTGCGGAAGATGTATCTGTGGGTACATACGGACTGCATATGGTGTCTGTCAGTCGTTGAAGGATAACTTGTTTGCCGATTGTGTTCGTCTTTGTCCAGGCAGACTTCCAGCAGTTATTCGTCACGACCTGATCAATGGTAAACACTCCATGCGAGCCATTGTATTCTGAGATCACAAGTTAGTTTTCTGGACACTTGAATGTTTTCTATTCGAAGAAACGTTACCGAGAACGTTGGAAAACCCAGCCCAACTTTGTGCGTTGGCAGCCGCCCAACGATCATCGGGCTGCGGCAAGGGAATTTGTAGTTCCGATACACTCACCAATCGACTGAGTTCGAAATCAGAAGCAAATGCAGCATCCAAAAGCTGAGTAAACTAGGTGTCAGTGTCGTCGACGTGCATGTAATCGGCATGTGAGGTGCTACCAACCCAAACCGAGAATCCTAGCCGTCTTCGTTCCTCATCTAAGACCCATATCTGCCATTTATGCGTCAGTGGCAATTGGAGCTGAGAAAACTTCTGCATGGGCAACAAGTTATTGAAGAACCCCTTCCGCCGTGCTAGGGTGATGGGCAGCGCTTGCGTGATCTCTGCAACCTCCAAAGACCGTCTGTCGCCGTCGTACATCAGACCCACGCGGTTGAGGACAATGGTCTGAAGCATCCACAGTTCACGGCTCATGTAGTTCTCCCTCTCGCACTGCTTTTAGTCAGAATCTCTGAATGCACAACGCGCATCAATCGGTTGATAGCTTACCATAGCAGCTGACTGCCGACGGACCAGTTCGTGCATCGCCCTCGAACATCGACGGGCGTCTGGAATGTTTGAAAACTGGGCACCCACTGCAGCTACAGCAAACATGAGAAGCCAGTGACGCTTTTTTGCTGTAAAAGAAGGCTTGTGTAGGATGGGAAACACAGGATGGAAGAATTCAAAGTAGAGCTGCATCCAAGCATTGAGTACCGGCCCGGGAGGGATGCGAAGCTCTATGAAAGGGGGGAAGCTCGGTCTCCGTTGCATCTCTGTGGCGTAGTCAATGACCCTTTCCACGGCTTCTTGTGGAAGCTCATCGACGTGGGCAAGGTCTTCCTCGTCAATATCTTGCGCTCCGAGTTGGGTCATGTCAGGGAACACAAGTGGGGCATCCATTTCAATTGAGACGGGGTGATAATGCTTGAGCTCGACGGCATCTTGATCGATGGCGGGCGTGTGACTACGGCTGTATAGCTCCGTCACTGCGCCTTGGTCCATCATCTGGTCTGAAGGAGGCGGATTTCGGGAGGCTGTAATATGAGGTGGTGCGACTGTCGATCTCTCTATCTGCTTATCAAAGGCCATCTGAGCAGACGGGTTGCTTGGCATAATATAGGGAAGGAAGTTGAGATCAGGATTATAATCGAGCCAGTTGATTGGCTCATCATAGGTGCCTAGCATAATCGAGGGCGTAGGTGCTGCGTCGGCCGTATCTAGGTCTAGAAACAGACCCGTTCCCTCGAGCAGCATATCGAATCGAATGGGGGGCTCTTGGTACCGAACGGGATCCGTTTCTCCACTGGCGCAATTCAAGTTGGGACTACCGTCTGTTTCTTCAAGAATCACTGGCTGATCCCTTGATCTGGTGGACTGGCCATCTCCGATGTAGTTGCTGACCAATGGTCGGTCTTCGGGAACAGTCACTGGAGGTGACGGGGGAATGTGTCTGTCATCAGCTATCCCGTTGTTTGTGGTGTCGCCATTGGACTTATTGCTGCTGTCATCCTCGTTGTTAATTCGTGGTTGTTTCGAACCGGGTCTGTTCGAGTGGGCCTCCGACGCACGCCTCTTTCCGAGAGGCTCGTAGAAGCAGTCGTTCTTGCTCCGGCGGCATCTTTCACATGGTAGTTGCCCATCGCAGCGAATCTTTGACGCATTACAAGACTTGCATGCTTGCGAGACGCGGCGATTGTCTCGATCGCTATGATTCTGGCGATCACCGCCCAGATGGATCGTAGTGTGGTGACGAGAAAGCGAGTCTCTGCCGACATGAGGTCAGGGAATTGTCATTGATCTATCACTCTGAAGCAAGAAAACATGAAAGACTGAGAAAATCGCCTGATACATACACTCTCCCAAAGCTCTGTCCGCACTCAGAGCATGCAAACGGTCTCTCGTTGGCGTGAGTACGTAGATGACGCTGATAATGCTCGCGTCGATTGAAGGACGTATCGCAAATTTCACAATAAGTGTTGCTCTTTGCATTCCGGTTGGACATGACAGCTGTGGTTACGGCACGAAATGCAATCACTACGGCTCGGCCGTGGAGAATGAGAACGGGGAGGGGATCAAGGTTATTTACGGGCCCTCTAGAGGAAAGCCGCCTTCCCCGGACACCAACTGGACACCAACTGCCTCATGCCCCATGCTACTAGGGGCGGGTGTCCCCGGCTTCATCATGTTAGAGTTGTGGAGTGCAGATCAGATCAACACTGAGCCACTAAAATTACGCCGGCTGCAACGCCAGGTTGCATCATCTGCACGGCGGGAAGGACCTCAGTTCAGCAGGACATGGCCCAGGTCGGAGCGTTCGAACTCACATGGAACAGGCTCCAAGGCTTTATTGGATTCAGAGCTAGATACCTCATCGTCGACCGTTAGGTTTTCCGTCAACTTGATCCGTCTCGAAATCCCAGGGTGCAGTCCGTGCAAGTTATTTTATGAGTGGCTTGATGATCAAAGCAGCATCACGGTAAACATTAGGAGTCCGGGTGGGGTTTGCCGATGTCACTAGAGATATAACGACCTCGGCATGGATAATAGAGGCAGCATGTAACAAAGCCATTACAACCGCTAACGCTAACATGGCCGAATTCGAGGTTCTCGGAACACAGATCTAATTTCTTTCCGAGGGATTTCAGGCGTAGGATGCCGTAGATTAGTTCCGAGATGTGGGAGGCAAAACCGGCGTTCGGGCGCCATCAAAGGTCCGAAACTTCGGGTTTCATCGGCCACAATTCCCCAAATACGCTGGGAACACGGTCACGGCCAATTCATCTGGAAACAATGAGAGAGGTGGTACCTGCCGGCCGAAACCCGAAACTCTCCTGCATACTGGCCCGAACAAGAGTCAACCAATGGTCCCAGCCAATTGCCCTTCATTCCAGTGGTAACTTATTAGTACTACCGTGTCCAACCACTAGCTGTATAACATTATCTACAGTCTTCTACCCGAGAGCATCTTCATACCTCGAGACAACTAGTACCGCACGTAAGACTAGGCTGGCAAGTGGTATCTTTAACATCTGAGGCATTTGGGTCTCATACTAGTTCGCGTTCGGTTATTCTGATGCGCATCTCATCAATGATACAACAGTATTATCGCAAGTGCAATCGATCTGGTCAACTTTCTTCATGGAGTTTCGAGAAGTGCGACCGGCATCGCTTTTATCAGGGACAGACTCCATATTCTCCCCAAACCTTGCCAGCATCTGTACCCTTATGGCCCTTAATGATAGTGGCAGTTCGATTGCCGTCATTAGCTGGTGTCCCGGCACCCCGATTGCGCAGAGACTCAGGTTCGCCAGAAAAGCCGGTCGCGCAAAGACCCGTAACAGCACTGAAGACCAGAAAGCCTCCTGGCTTTATCCAGGCTACATACATCGGCATAAGCATGTTGACTGCGGCTTTAGTAACTCTGTACTTTGTCCCGCGGGGGCTATAAGAGCGAGGACTTGTCGCTGGCGTGGGTGACGGATGCCATCCTGGAGCTGACGAAGATAAGACGCGAGGGTCTATTTGCAGCTTGTCGCAACACACTTAAGCAAGCCTTAGTTGTGTCCAGGGTTTCTATGACGTTTGTTTCTAGGACATGACGGAAAGCAGCCGTGGTAATCAGACGGGTGTTCCATTAAAATAATTGCAGCGTTGTTGACCAATATTTCCAGTCGCTCAAACTCGAGCTGTGGCAGGCCAGCTTCTTAGAATAGTTAGGCAATCACAAAATAAAATACAACTGAACCTTCCTATAGGTTACGTCATAAGGAAAAAAAAGAGGAGAAGACGGTGATAAAGGAGTGCGGACGTTGTCGTCCGACAGATGTCGAATAATCCCGGCCGGCCCCACTTCTCCGGTCCTAGGGCCGGACAAATCCCACCTCCGGGCTCGTTAGCTGCGACGCCGATGGGTTTTCATCAGCCATATGTCATTTCATCGGTTCCGACCTTCCCTAAATGGAACTTCAACCCAAACCTGATGAGCCGCATCGTGCCATACTTATCTCGGCTGGGTTGTAAGTAGCCATCATTATTCAACAGCTATTAGTCCTGAATTCTTTTCTCTTTAATCACCGCCACATTGATTCCTTGTATATCTTTTCCGATGCTTCGTCGCAATCTCTTATCGATCTTTGGTCTCGGCCTGGTAACAAGCTCGGTAGCTCAAAATGCCTACTCAAAGTTAACATTGGATCCCACATATCGCACCGTCCCACCACCCAATGGCGACTTTCCTCAAGACCCGCATCACGTCCGGGTTGTTTCGATCATCCTCTTCGCTATATCATTCACTTTCGTGGGCATTCGTCGTAGAGAAAGCAAGCGCTGGGGCTCAACAGTCCCTGCAGCCTTGACAATCGGATCTGCTACGTTTGTCCTTGTCGAAGCAATCAACTGCTATTTGGCCAACGTCTACTGGACCACGTCCCACGATCCCAGAAAACTCATGTTCACCCTCCTTGGCCGTGATTTCGACGTATACGTCGGCATTATTTGGTGGTCTTACGGCGCGGTTCTCAGCTGCGGCATCTTCGGCGCGTTGCAGCGTAACATCCGAACCGGAACGTTATGGGCTCTTCTCGGCTTTGCGGGGCTGCTGGACATCATCCTCGAAGAATGCATGCTCATGTACGGTGGCATCTACACCTACTACGACCACCAGCCGCTGGTCTTCAACGTTTTCCCTTGCTGGTGGGCCTTTTGCAACGTCTCTCCATCACTTACAGGTACCGCCACCTGCTTGAAGGGTGGAGATGTTGCTTGATTCCTCCGATTTTACCGCTTTGCTATGCTGGTCCGCAAGTCCTCGCAGCTCTGCCTACCATTTACGCGATCCAGGCAGATTATTCACCAATGGTTACACAAATATGTGGCATCGTCACATGTGCCCTTGCGGTGATTCAAGCCGGTGTTACTATGGACATCGTCTTGGGGCGCGATCCAACGGACATCAACGAAGTTGGCCGGGATACTCAATCTCAGCTACCTCATCAAAAGATTTTCTGAGAGATAATACAGACAGCTGGAATTTGTGGCACTTGCGACCATTTACCTGCTTTTAGACGGAATGATAGAATAAGACAGAGAGAGGAGAGAGAGGGAGAATTCCAGCCATGTATGCAACCAACCCGTTCACAACCTGCCCATCCCCGAGTCTTGAATGTTGCCACTGCAGTTCAGGGCTGGAATTCTTGCTCTTGGGTTCTTAAAGCCTTGCCTGAATATTATCTTGCACTTGCGAAGGTCCGAAATTTCTCCATATAAGTAGCATTCAAAGTGATTGCTTGCTTGTCCCTATTGAACTTAATATACCAGAACAGCCCATGGAGCAAAAAGTCAGGCACGCCCATATCATCTAATGAAAGTATCTGTTTCTGATATATCAAACTCTCGCCAACATCCTGGCGCACATTGCCTTTACCAGGCTTAAACATAAGCACCAAGGGGAAAAGCCTAGAACTATCCAAGGACAGTCACGTTCTTCACGTCAGCTCCCATCCGCAGCACAACTTCTTCTCCCACCACCTCCGCCGCTGGACCGCCGTCGACAGTGACGTTTTCAAGGCTTTCTCCAGCCGGAACGCGCAACTTGACGCGGACCTCCGAAGGAACGCTCCCACCGCGTCGGCGCTCCGCGGACGCTGACCTTATCGCCCGTCGCGACCCAGGCGCGCGGCAGCACGCGGGCGAGGTAACAGACGTCGTCGTCGGGGTGCTCCAGGACGAGTGCGGCGCGCATGATCAGGGGCATGCCGAAGGCGGCGGGCCAGCAGAAGAGCCCGCCAGCGCCGGTGGTGTAGAAAACCTCGCTGGCGATCCAGTTGCCGCGGTTGTGGATATAGTAGTGGTGGGCACACAGGAAGAGGACGAACTCGTCGGTCCGGCCGGCCAAGAGGAGGTCCATAGCGTAGCCGGAGCCGATGAAGCCCAGGAAGTCGCGGCTTTCCGGCTTGTGTACCAAGACGTCGGCGGGGATGCTCATGGAGGTGGAGTGGCTGGCTTTCACGGGGTGCGTGATGGTGTTCACTAGCTCGATAAGCAAGACGGCTGCTCGAAGGAGCTCTGCGAGTGCGCGATAGGTCGGGTGGGTTATGACGGGCTTAAACCTGCTCCAGACAGGTATCAGGCCGTAAGAAGAATCGGAGGTGCCCAGTGACAGACTCTCATCGCAACGGACGATGAGGATATTTGCACATGCCAGGATCTCGTCGATATTGCCCGCGTCGGATACGACGCCATGCAAAAAGTTATCTAGAACGGCACAAGCTTGGTCGAAACGGGTCCAGAGGAGGCTGGCGTAGAGGAAATCGGTTAAGGTGTCTTAAAAGGTGTCAATCTCGGACCTCAAGTATGGTCTGCTCGGTCGTAGGCGCCGTATTTCGAATATGCACCGCGGTTCTCTACCGAAGGCGTGTGTGGTCAGGTCGACCCATCTGGAGTGAGGCAGCACAAGTTTAACGCCATCAGCGAGATAGTCTACCTAATATGCGCCAAAGCGCAATAGCGCGCCATAGAAATGGGCAGAAGAGGGCTTCGGTCGTGCGGACAAATGCTCGGGATAGTCGTATGCGAAGCTGTGGCTTTCTATTTGCGCGTGGGCCACGAAGTTGGCCCAGTATCGAACGTGAATGAAATTTGGCTCATTGAAGTCGACATCAGCAAAGGCGATGGATTCGGCCCAATCCTGGCCGTCGTGCTTGCAGCGGAAGACCTTGCGCGAGTCGGGCTGCCAAATGCCCAACAGCCATCATAAGTTCACGTTTTGTACTCCGGGTCTCCACTGACGTCTCCAAAGATGTCTTTCGCTTGAAAATCCATTGAGAAGTAGTTCTAATATCTTTCGTCCGATCGTACTGTCAAGATTTCATTAACCTGGACGTTTCTGAGGAAGGTATCCCAGCCCACGATGTTGAGGAACAGCAGGGAACTCCGAACAGCAGCCTCACCAGGCTCTCCACCCTTGAGCAGTGCGTCGGCGAAAGGTCTTGCTGTGCTTGATTTACTTCAGCCGAGTTCATGCCCACGAAGAGAGGTACGGTTGGGTATACCGAGTTTTGGTGGCCCCGAGTTGCATCGCCAATCGGCTCATCAACACGTTCCGACACCGGAATAGGCGCTTCCAGGGGGCAGGAAATGAATTGAGGGCTTGAAAGACTCGCACTTTGAGCAGCTTGGCACGAACAAATAACATCTATCGACATGCTGACGCCGGGGACACGACGCCCTTTGTTAATGCTTTTTCTGCTTCATGCTCTCATATTGTGACTTGATATGTGCGCGAATTTTACCCAACTTTATTCAATTCTATGTAAACAATACCCGTTGTGGAAGTACTCGAGTGATGTGTGAATAGATCCTCAGGCCTTCTGTTGCAGCCTAGCTTTCCGTCGACCAGGATGATTTGCAGACCAGCGACATGTTCTGCGGTATGACAGCGGGATAATGTCGGCTTACCGCTGCAGAAAGGATGGTTTTTTCTTCGCTGATTGGAAAGAACGGATTCCTTTACTATGCTGTTGCAAACGGAGGGAAATATTTGCCAGATTTATCACATAATGAAGGAGTGCGTTTCTTGTGTGCCGACCTTGAACACTATTGCTCTAGCCCAAAGTCACTTGGTCGAATCTGGCATTCTGTACGTGGGAGGTCGAAAGTAATCGTTGATCTTGCCAAGACTTTAGTGCGTGCAACGGGAGACATGCAGGGGTTTTGATTTATAAGTGATGTGGATAGCTGGGATATTTCGTAATGTGGAGCGACATGGTAGGTTTCCTGTTCGCTGGAGGTATTGCGATGAGGTATCGCGATTGGGAGATGTAAATCTCGGTTTCGGTCTTGATACTGGCATCGAACAGATATAAAAGTCCCGCCAATTTGCTGTTTTCACTATACACAAACACATTCTTCTCGACTCATCAAGAATTTACATCAAAATACATTCATCTATCGACAATCATGAAGGTGTTTCTGCTCAGTTGTCTCTATGCCGTTGCGGCATCTATATCACATAGCCTTCCTCCGAAGCCTCGCTTTGATGTTGGAGGCATGATTACCATGATCGAGGACTTCTTCCCAGCTAACCAGATGCTTTCATTCAACACAACTGGTATGGACCAAGCGTGGGCTCAGATTGCGGGTAACTTCAGTCTCTCTGTGGAAGAAAACAGCCTTCAAGGAAAACGCTGCGCCGACATCATGGTAGTATTCGCCCGCGGTACGTACGAAATCGGCAACGTCGGCGTTCTCGTGGGGGCGCCTTTCCTGCAGGTGCTCCGAGAGCTATCTATCTCAGGCCTCACTATCGAGATGCAGGGCGTCGAATACGCCGCGAACATGACGGGCTATCAACTTGGAGGGGACCCAGAAGGGTCTCAAAAAATGTATGTGAGGGTCTAACCGCGATAGACTGATTAGCCGCTGACAGGGTACATGGCAGGGCGGACACAATCTTGGAGGTCCAAAACCAATGTCCTAGAGCGAAGGTTGTCGTATCTGGGTATTCACAAGGAGCCCAGCTCGTACACAACGCTCTGAAGGAACTGAAGGGTACGAATCTCGAGGAAATTGATGCTGTGGTTACTTTTGGCGATCCCCTTTATCCTCAGATTCCTGAAGGTGTTCCCGGCTGGAAAATGCTTTCTGTATGCAATGCAGGAGACGGGGTATGCAGACCTGGTCGAACCATCTCTTTGTCCCACATTAGTTATGTTGAGCGGCTCTATGAAGCAGCCACTTTCGTCGTGTAGAAGCATAGATAGTCAGGGATAGTTGTCGACAATTCGATGGTCCGCTGTCTACGCTTTAGTTATCGAACGATAAATCCAGGCAAAATATGAAGCAACACTTCCAAGAAGACAGAGCTTGCTAGTTGACAACGCGCCACGGGTTGTAGTAATGTGGTACGTGGTTCAATACTCATCGACTTGTTGACCTCGTAATTCGTATAGCCACTGTAGACAGGGCCTTGGCTGTCAGTCGGTTCTGCCAAGAAGATTTGGACAACCCGTGAACAGGGGTGTGTGGATCACGACCTCCATAAGTTAGTACGGTAGTTGACAAATGAAAAGCATGGTACCCAAAGGACTGCACTTTCCACCGCGCGCGTGTTAATAAGCAGCTCTTCTCTTCAGACCATCCGGAATCAGTCTCCGTGCAATGTTGCTGTGCTATGGCAGCGATTGACTCGGACGAGGAAGGAAGTAGTAATCTTCACTTTAGCTCATGAGGTGCCCTGTCTTTCTTTACCCTATGTACAATTAGCACATTGGCGTGAATGGCACCTCAACTTGCAATCAGAGCCTTTTGCTTTTTTTCCTATTTTGCGATGTCATCCTCGCGGCAGTGGCTTCCTTAATGCGTGCCTACCCGCCAGATGTCTTGGTGACGAATTACCCGCCGCCCCCTCACTTCCTTCCTTCCGAAAATGAACTCAGGCACACTGAAAGTCTTCACCTTCTTTTGTTTTTTCCCCTAGCGGACGTGTCAACGAAACCTCTCGACCTCTACGCGCGTCCTGATTACCACCGCGTGGCGTCGGATCGTGATCAGCATCCGCGAAAATGCCTGATCGAGATGTAAGTGGACCATAAAAGGCTTCCATTCTCCAAGGCTAATTGAGCCGCCAGAACCTAATCTACAAGGCTTTGACGTGTGCCACGTCTCTCAATGCCCGCGAGAAAGACATCGCAATTGAGGCCTGGCTCCTCGCCGAAAAGTCTCACAACGCCTTGACGTCGGCATGGACTGCCTCGAAAGAAAAGGTTCGGCTGGCAGAGAACGACGACGAATCCAAGGAATACTGGGCCAAGTTTGAGGGCGTGCGGGCACAGTACGCTTTGATCGATAAGATCGCCCAGCAGAAGGAGCAGCTGGCACGAAAATGGAGGCCGTCGAAGGTGATTTACATTGACGATGACGAGGAGGACTCTGCTCGGGGATATAACGACGCGACAGAATCGCCTCCCGAGGCTGTCGAGATTCGCAACATACATACGCAGAAGTCCGTGCAGACCAGCGACGACATGAGTGCCGGCTGCAAGACTTCCACTTCAGCCATACCGCAGTTGAGTCTCGACGAACTCCTGCGGTCGACCGTCTCCATTCGTGGACATCGAAAGAAGCAAGGGACGAAGCGGCGAGCGGAAGGAATTGAAGACGACCCCTTGTCCGTTAAAAAGACAAGCTCAAAGCAAGTCTGTTCAGCGACCACGAACAAACGAGCAACGGCACAACCATCCTAGGAGCCCGAGAAGCCAGCAAGTCCGAAAAAGGTGTTCATGAGGATTCCGGATCAAAAGAAGCGCCAAAAGTCGTTGGACTAGCTCTCCAAAGAACCTGCAAAGTTACTTGGTTGCAGGTCGTCATCGCGAGCACCACGCTGAAACACATTCCCATCACTTCTCGGCCAGGAACAAACGGAGATGTACTCGATAGTATCGCCATGGCTTCGACATGGAGTGGCATTATCCCTAGCTGTACGTCAAGCGATGACGAATATTATGACAAAGATACCCGCCGACGCGAAGATGGGATTGCCTGGATAGTATTCGGTAACGTCGCCTCGGCGACAACGGGCAACTCGGAACGAGTACGCCAGCCGGATCGTATACCGAGGACAAGACTCGCCTGACAGGTGTCAAAAAGGAAGGATTAGAGATGGCATTTATTGAATGGGTTTGTGGGCGGCGGGTTCGCAGCTGCGCATGGGCGGTTATCCCAGGTCAGAATACATGCGAACGGCTTCTGCATGTAGTAATGCATTCGTGTCCAGCAATAGCATATGCGATATGGATTTCAGAAACGATTCAGCGTGCAGTTTCCGTACATGGAAAGGACAGCGAAGTTTCGTTTCCAGGTTCCCTGCAGTAGGAAAGATGGGGTTGACGACGGACGTAGGGCGGAGAGTGGCTGGGGGTTCCCGAGTTGCATGACTCCATCGTGTCCGTGTGCGATATTCAAACGGCAGATTGTGGCTGGGCAAGCACATTTAAAGCAAGCAAAAATCAGAGAGAGGGTTATGTCAGCACCTTGCGACATGGCAAAGAACAAATGGAAGGAGAATTCCCATGAAGCGTCGGGCCGAGGGCGAGGAATCCGGATGTCTCCAGCAGCAGGTCCCGGTCACCAAGGAGAGGGACGCCAATGTCTCAATCATCCGCCAGCCGTCACGGCCATCGGGCCAGAATAGACGGAAACAAGAACAGAAGACAGGAGAAAAGAATGGCGACGCTGTCGTCGGACTGACAGCGTCGCAATGAGGTTCGTCTGGTCTGAGACTCGTCCGACCCCCGGAGCATTGGCCCCTGGGTGTTAGGGCCCCCTGCGAAAACCCCACGATGGACGGGAAGTGCTTGGCGTCCTTCAGGATGGCCAAGTGCGCGCAGTTCCAGGTGTGCTGACCGAGGCAGCTACAGCGCCCCATTGGAAGATGCCCGGTGAGATGCCCCGCTGGAGGGGAGCTCTAACTGCTGTTGTGGGTGCTGAGGCCCCCTGGAAACCGGGGCTACTGCGGGCGGAGCGCAGTACCGAAGCAGCTGCAGGGGCATCACGGGTTGATCTGCGCCAGGGCCAATTGGACGAAAAGGCCTTCTTCCATCACTCGCACACATCATTCGCTCGCGGGACCGCATTCGGGAAGCAACAAGACGGATGCTTTGTTGCATCTGCATCCCCAAACCAGCCCCCCTCGCCTCCCCCCGAAAAGCCAAGACTCTTCTGCAAGCCAGCCAGCCAGCCAGACAGACATGCATCATCTCCAGGACATCTCCGTCGCTGGGCCGTCTCTCAAAAGGGCCGCCCTCCTCACCGTGTCCGGCCCAACGATCTGGATGTTCTTCTTTCTTTTTCCGCTCCCTGCTTGCTGTTGTGCATTTCGACATTTCACTCCGCCGATCGTGGGTTGAAAGGGCGGCGGCGATCATCACATCTCATCTCCTCCCATCTCATCCTCCCTCCGTCCCGACTATCTACTATCTGTCTCCTGCATACGACGGACGACCTACCGTCTGTTAATGTCATCTTGAGTCCGTCCGAAATAGAATCATACCCTGTCCCCGGCCACGTCGTCTAGTCCGGCCTGCCTGCCCATGAATGATCGCCGATTCGATTCAGCTGAAAACAGCCCTCCAACCTGCTTCACACCAACTCCGGACGCCCTGCCTCTAATATCAAGAATACCACCCGACAACACACCCGTCTGCGACTGGGCCTGCCGCGTTTCTTCTCCTTCCCTTTCTCGTTTTAGGCTCGCTCCAAGGTTTTCGGCTGCCATCAGTGCCATCCTACCTTAATATTACGCTTGCCTCATATTTTACCTTATACTTCCCGCCTGAGACATACGCCGCATCGGGGAAACAGCCCAAAGGTCTTATTATTACATCCATTTTGTTGTTTTTTCGTCTCTTCCCTTCCGGCTGGCGTGTGTCTTGAACTCATTTCGCTCTGCACCAGAGTCGTCGTCACTGGCATGCCAGAGAGTTTACCTTTGAATAATCTGTCCCGGGCGAAGTTTGAAAAAACGACACGCAGAACCAAGAATAACGAGAACGAACAACTCAACATCTCGCGACAAAGTTGATCAGTATACACACAATACAGCGATGATCAAGACCGTTCGGCCACCGCCATCTTCACCCCTCCCCGCTACCGACCGATAATTCAGTCTCTTTTTTCATCTGTTTTTTTTTCATCGCCGGGCTTTCTCATTCTCAACATCAATCAGAAGGGCAGACAAAACGCACACACAGACACGATGGAACGTCCCCACCGTCCACCACCGCTCACGATCCCCCCTCCACCCCGACACCGGGCCCGAGTCCGCCGCTCACGACGCCCGAACCACCGACAAGCCCGCCAGTTCAAGCGCTGGCTCCTCCGTGCGCAAATCGCCAATGACGTGGCGCACGTCGCCGCCGCGAGCATCTTGCTATGGATCATGTCGTGGTTCTTGTACAACGTGCCATTCCCCTTGACATATCGCACAGGGTAACTACCGCCTCACTCTCATCCTGACCAAAGATACTAACACTCCTCCAGGCCCGCCGCAGTCGCCCTCATCATCATGCTCTCCACAGACATCCTCCTCGACGCCCGCTCAATAGTCCACGCCCACGACCCCTGGCCCGGCTGGGCCCTCCTCCTGCGCCTCGCCCTCGGCCTCGGCCTCATCGCCGTCTTCGCCGTCTACATCGCCCTCGGCGGCGACGTCTTCGCCCCCGACTTCGAGTACTGGGGCATGTCCGACGCCTACGGCCGCGTCCTCGCCTACATGTTCCTCTGGGGCCTCGGCCTGTGGAACCTGCTCTTCGTCGTCCTGTGCCGCCACTGGCTCGCCAAGGAGGTGAAACGCTACTCGGGCGACGCGCGGGAGCTCTTCGCCGGCGGGCGCGCGCCCGGTGAGAGCGCGCTGCGGCTGGGCAGCAGCGCCGGCGAGGAGATGGGCGCCGCGCCACCGTCGCGGCCGCGGGAGGTGGACCTCGAGGCGGCGCGGTTCGTAAGGGAGGAGTCACGGAGGGAGGGGGTGGTGAACGTGCCGCTGCCTGTGCGCATGGGCACGCGGAGGGTGAAAGACAGCGTGGGCGGGTTGAGCGTCTTTGCGGATTCAATCGCGAGCGGGAGCACGAGTCCGCCGCCCGTGGCCGTGACGAGACCTACATGACCCCTGTCCTGTCCGCTCCAGCCAAAGATGGAGAAAAAGTAATCATTTAGACGTACACAGACATCACATAAGCCATAACTACATAATGATAATGCAAATATATCCTGACAGCGGCATTGAACAAGTGGAGATGCTGTCTGTCGTTCACTGCAGTCATTCAATGCATTCGTTTGTTCATGGGATGACAGACAACGTCCGCCCGTCTGATTTTGGGGTTACATACGCCGATGGTCCCATCGGACTTGCCTTTCGTCCCAAGTTTTTTAATTGTTCGGATTCGCGCGATCAGGGAATCGAGATTAGGGGAGAAGCTTGCTCCCGTGGAAACGTCTGATGTTGCAACTGCTGCGGTGATGCAATGCCGTGAGTCGTGGCGGGGGGTATATCAGTGCTGGACTAAGACGACTGCGAGCGACGACGAAGAGCGACGGCGGCGGCGGACGACGACGACAAGGGCATTGATACAGGATTACAGCAGCCACAGCACAAGGTAGAAGGTGTGTTCGATTATTCAGCCGCTTTTTGGGTATCGATTCTGTGCTACTCTTATACCTAACTGTTCACATCTAACACTAGAACCAGGACGCCAGCTTTCGGGCTTCCGGATGGTTGGTGTAAAGCTCAGCATCGGCAGCCGCTGAGAGACTCGTCCTTGTAGAGCGACCGCGGCGTTGCGGCTGCGCGGGAGGTACTACCACAGCGGCGGTCGTTGTAGCTTCTGTCGTTTTTGCTGCTGTCGTCTTCGTCGTCGCCGTCTTATTCGGGCCCTTATTCGCCTTGCCTCCCTTATTGGTACTCTTGGCTCTAGGCTTGGCCGTCTTCGTGGCCGCTCCGCCCCCCGTGTACCTTGGAATCTTGCTCTTTCCCTTGCTGCTTCCCTCACCGTTGTCGATGTCAAGCTCAACGACAGGTACAACCAAGACAGCCTTCCCCTTCCCCTTCGCCTTGCTGCTGCCCTCGCCATTGTCGAGTTCTATCGGCTCAGTCGCCGATCCCGCTGGGGCTGATTCCCCCTTCAACTTCGCCTTGTTGCTGCTGGTGCTGGTACCCAGCTTCTGGGCTGGCTTCTGGGCTGGCTTCTGAGCGGCAATCCTGGCAACCGCCTTTCCCTTTCCCTTGGTCTTACTGCTGGCACTGCCCTCATCGCCGTCGTCGACATCCATCTGGTGCGACTGGGCATTCTAAACCCTGACCGGCTGTGCCACTTGCTTTCCATTACCATCAACAAAGAAATGGCTGAATGCCTCCTCGTCGTTATCGTCCTCCAGGTAATGTGAGTCTTCCTTCTCCGGGGGCAGGGTGGCATAGAGTCCCTTTCCTGCTTTGGGCCAATTAGGGTGAAGATAATCGTCCTCGTTGTCCTCTGGTACAGCATCGGCCTCAGGGGTGGTCGTCAACTGCAAAATCGGGCGCACACCACCCGGCTTGGAGCGTTGCTTGGAACGCTTGGGTGGCAACTGGTTTCCAGTACCGTTTGCGAGGACGTTCGTACGAGAACTTTCGGGTTGCTTCTGACATGTTAGCATTCTGAGCCTCCGAGACAGGAAGGAAAACATACCGCCCTCGGCTGAGCCCAGTCTGGTGAGCGAAAGATCGGAAGATCTGGCTGCTTTTTGGACACCGAAACGAGAATGTCCACCAACAGGCCAGGCTTGATTTGCTCACTGAAAGAGAGTAGATTAAGCAAGTCGGTCCTACGGAGTTCCTCGAAATACTCTCTCCTCTGTTTTTGGGGTCAGCGCTCGCTCTTGTCGTTCCATCCGGAGCACATACCGCATCAGTGCTGGCATCACCAGCCCCGAATCCCACCAGCTCAGGCTTGATGAAATCGGGCAGACCCTCGAGATTCCTCGTCCTCATCCTCTCAACTTCGGCCCGCTGCTTCTTCAGATCGGATTGCTGCTGCTTCGCCTCGCGGTACTTAACCAGTTTGGCTTGGTAGTTAGCCTGCGCCTTGTCTTCGACGACGCAAGTGCTGCACTTGAAAGAGGCAGGGTTGCTAGCTGTTTCCTCGGGGACCTGGGGATCGTGACAGAGCTGGTGCCAGGCCTCGCCGCAACCACAAGTGATGATAAGGTTGGCGGCAGTATCCGAGCTGCGCTGGCACTTCACACACATGGAAGAATCCTTGACGCGTTTCCTTTTGGAAGGCGGTTTCGGGGGCTGGATGGCAACGGGCTGAGGTTCGTCTCGGGGTGTGGGGCGCGTTGGTGGCCTGCTGTCATGCTCGTCTGATCCTCGCTTTCTCTTGCCCACACTAGGTGATGGCAGTCGATTGGCATGCGTGGCGGCTCCTGCGATAGGTCTGGGTGACGCTGTCGGCATTGGCAAAGTTGTAGATGTGCTGAGCGTCTCGACGAGTCTGCGCTTAACATCCTCGTAAGTTGCCTTTGCTGGGGCGGAGAGTTGGGCGGTGGTAAAGCCAAGGGACGGGGAGGAGTTGCTGCCATTCTCATTCTTTATCCGGCTCAGAATTTGCTTGGTTGATGCGGTAAATTGCGGGGTATATCTCGAAGGCGTCGGCGATTTGCCGTCGTTCTTCGAGATTGTAGGGAACGGTCGGCTTGGGCCGGCTGTGGCAGGCGTAGACATGACGCTACTGCCAGTCTGGATAGTTGACGTGGCGTTCGAGGTCTGCGCGACTTGGGCACGCATCGCACTCAACTCGTCAGCTTTTTCCTGCTTAATAGCCCACAGGCGGGAGGTGTCGTCGGGCATCGTATTGTCCATGGCGTATATAGATGCAGGTAGTTGTATTGAGGGCGGGAGGTGGTTGAGTCGGATGGTCTGGAGAAGGTGGAAAGCTGCGTCGCGTGACTTTCACGTGACCTGGACCGTGCTCACCGAGCTGAGGCAGGCACGTACTGTCTCGGTCATCCTCGGTGAGATCAGATTCTCACGATATGCGTTGAAAACGAAGTGAAACCATTTGATGAGACCGCCTAATTATTTTGTGTCTGCGCGGGTATACTCTCTACTTACTTAATTACTATTGCAGACGATAGTAGAAGTAATTATAATAATAATAGCGACAACGACAGCAGCGACGGCCGCGGACGACGACGACGATGACTATTGTGGTAGAACATACCACAGGAAAACTAGTCGCTCCAGCAAAAAAATAGGCAGTCGGTTTTTTATTGACTTCTCGATTTCTGAAATCTACCCTGACTAAGAAGTCCTCGTTCGCTGCAGCTCTCGATTGATCAGAAGTGGTAGTCTACCTAGAATATGCGGTCATCGGCGTGAAATGGATGAATTACGACATAATTTTGGTTGTAGCTTGCATCAGTATATCGATTTTACGGGTTACAAACTGCGATACTAGCGGTGTAAGATCCACAGCCTGATTTACGTGGTGAGGCTAGCGACCGTGCTAAGAGGTTCACCGCGGCCTTCGTCAACCTCGCGGGTGTGTCTGGCTCAGATTCTTTCGTGTGGCGGAGTCGAGGCCGGCATGAGCTCTTTACTGGATGGGCTATGAATTCCATCAGCGTCAGAAAAATGTTTGCCCGCGGGAAGGGTTCTATGCCGAAGCCTCAGCAATCACACCAACATACGGATCTGATAAGCACGTACTGTTTCGGTCAACCTCGGTGAAGTAACAACCTCTCAGGGTAGGTTAAGAATGCAGTGAAGTTACCCAGCCTCTCCCGCGAGGATGGCGGTGCAAATTCACGACGCATCACAGCTGCGCCTCTGTGGCAGGGTACATCGACGATCCTGGAATGCAGCCTACGTCCATGAGACGCAAGCAAGTCCGCTTGCTCAGCCAGATCCTCTCGGGAATGCGTAAGTCTGCAGTGCAATCCTAGAGTAACATCACGAACCTTCCAACATATGTATTGCATAAGCATGTCGGATCTGCACAACACTCAAGTCGCAGTTCTAGAAGCATAGCATTTGCAAACAAGAATTTATGCCTGCGCCACCTTTCTAATGACACCACCGACCTTCCATCTACCGATTATATAGAGACTGCAGTTGGGAAGATTCAAGAAGTGACACGGGAAGAAAGCTGCGTCGCGTGACTTGCCCTGATGTGTACTCACCGAGAAGGTGAGTTGATTCGGTCAAGTTCGGCAAATTCAGAGTCTATCGTGGTGGGCTCAAAACGCGGTGCAGAAAATAGTACATGAAATGGACCCTCTCGGGATGGGTTTAAAACGCAGTGAAGTGAACCTCGTAGGGCTGATCGCAACCATATAGATCCTCTCGGGATGGGTTAAAAACGCAGTGAAGTTTGTTACCTCTTAGGGCTGCATCGACGACCAGACAGATTCTCTCAGCATGCATTAAGATGGCAGCGAAGTGGACCTCGTAGGGCTGCATCAACGATCGGATAGATTCACTCGGCATGCGTTACGATTGCAAGGAAGTTTGGTGAGGGTTGCATAGATTGTACAGTTGAACCACGACTGACCCTCATGCAGCAAGAAACGCCGACGTCTACCCAACAACACCACCCCCCTTCAACTCCCCAATCCTCTCCTCCGACAACCCCAAATGCTCCCCCAGCACCTCAGCCGTATGCTGCCCCAGCGTCGGCGGCGCCGTCCGCACCCCCGGCTCGCTCTCCGAGTACTTCACCGGCGTGTTCACCATCCTCACCGGCCCGCACGCCCCGTGCTCCATCTCGACCACCATGTTCCGCGCCTTGGTATGCGCATGCTCCAGCGTGCCCTGCACGTCGTTGACCGCCGCGTACGGCATTCCCTTGCCCTCGAACACCGCGAGCCACTCCGCCGTCGTCTTGGTCACCGTCACGGCCTCGATCTTGCCCTCGAGCTCGACACGGTTGGCCACGCGCTGCGCGTTGGTCTTGTATTTCGCGTCGTCCGCCCACTCGGGCCGCCCGAGGCCCTGGCAGAGGATGCCGTAGAGCCGGTCATTGCCGCCGCCGAAGAGGATGTCGCCGTCCTTGGTCTTGAAGGACTTGTACGGCACGATCGATGCTGGCCGACAGTGTTAGCTAACCCACGCAGAGATCGGGGTTTGGGCCCAAACTTCACTCACGATGCGCAGTCCCCCACCGTCCCGAGTCCTTCTCCCCACTAACCAAACAACTACTCGCAATATTCGCCAACGTCGCCGTCTGGCAATCACTCAGCGCCACATCAATATGCTGTCCCCGTCCCGTCCTCCCCCTCGCCAGCAGCGCCGCCATGATGCTATTGCTCGTGTACAGCCCCGTCGTCAGGTCCGTCACCGCGACACCCACCTTGACCGGCTCCCCGCCGCGGCTGCCGGTGATGTGCATCAGCCCGAACTCCGCCTCCACCATGACGTCGTAGCCCGCGCGGTCCGAGTACGGCCCCGTCTGGCCGTACCCCGTGATGGAGGCATAAATAAGCCCAGGGTTGATGGCGCGCAGCGTGGCGTAGTCGAGCTGGTACTTGGCGAGCGTGCCGGGGAGGTAGTTCTCGACGAGGATGTCGCACTTGGCGACGAGCTGGTGCAGGATGGCGATGCCGTCTGGGTGTTGGAAGTTGAGGCCTAGCGACTTTTTGTTGCGGTTGACCTAAACAGCAATCAACATCTCGGTTCAAAAGAATGAAGGCTGGGTGAGGAATTACGGCGAGAAAGTAGGCAGATTCGCCGGGGCCTTGCTTGCCAGAGTCCGCCTTGTAAGTTGCGTACGGAGGGCCCCAGGCGCGCGTGTCATCGCCCCTCGTAGGATGCTCGATCTTGATGACTTCGGCACTGGTGATGTCAGTGAGATGAGCGGGCACCCTTGTCCAGAGGATGAGCCTCACCCGAGATCGCCCAGTATCTGAGTGCAGTATGGCTGTTCTCATGTCAGCATACTTCCGCGTGTTCTCAAGAGAAATAGATGACTTACTCCGGCCAAGACTCTTGTCATGTCAAGCACGCGATAGCCGTCCAGAGGCAGCTTGCTGCTCGACACTGAAGAGTACTGACGCCATATCCGAGGGAAGCGTGCCGCCCTCAAGGGTAGTCGCGCAGCCCTGGAAACTATACGGAACGGGACTCCAATTGAAAGGCTGCTCATCTTGATCGTTGACTGAATCCGTCAGCCTATGCGGGGAAGTCAATTGAGGGTTGAGTACGGGGAAGCTGGTTTCCATCAGAGCTCCGACCCCGGTCTGGCTCCGGTCCGTTGGCGGGGGTTCCGTTGCATCACCTCGGCATTGTTCTGGCAGTGGTGTGTATTATGTCATCGAGCACGGACCAAGACTGTGACTTGTGCTGCATCGTATTGACCTTGATTCTAAACTGCAACGAAGAAATGTATGTCTGATTATGCTGTGTCCCATCCCAAAACACCAAACCGGAACGCCATGACCTGATAAAAACTAGTTGGAGGGAAGGGTGTCGAAAGCCTTCTTATCATAGCCCCATTCCTTCTCAACGAGTTTACCTTTAGCATTGTAAAGAAACCTGTAGGCAGTCTTGATGGTTCCGTCGCTGACGCCGGCCACGCCAGCGATGGCCTTTGAAGTCTTGGGCTCCGCCATCAGGTGAGCCGCCATGTAGATACACGCGGCCGCGACAGACAGCGGGGAACGCCCAGCAAGCTCAGAAACGCTTGAAGTCTTACGTGCAAGCGCCCGAGAGACGTTCTCAATCTTTTGGGCGTTGCGGAAGTTGAGGTTGGAGCAGAAACGCGTGCAGAGGTCCTCGGCGCTGGTGGAGGCACTAGCCTTGTAACCATCCAAGTTCGACAGGGAGCCAGCACCGCGGGGGTTCTCCTCCTTGATCTTCTGGAGGAACGACTCGAGCTGCTTGAACACCCTTCCAATCTCCTTCTTGGATACGTGTGTGACCTGGAAGATCTCACGGAAGGTACGACCGACTCCGGTTTGACGGCAAGCGATGAAGATGCAGCCTGCGATGACAGCTTCTTGTGGCTTGCCTTTCATGAAGTTGTGGTCGTAGGTGAGCTTGAAGATGTGCTTGGCGGCGTCAGAGACGTTCTTGCCCAGGTTGATACTGTCGCAGAAGGCGCCAATTTCCTTGTATGCCTGCATGAGAGACTTGCTAGCCTTGTCGTTCTGGGACTTGTTCTGCAGACGAGCGAGCTGCTTGGAATCTCTGCCGTCACCAAAGGCGATGGTGGTCTCGAGCTGGGAGCCGTTGAGCAGAGGGTTGACTGCATCACCGACACGGGACGGATCGTCGTTGCCCTGGTCGTCATTGGCGAAGGTACGCCACTCGGATCGGGTGTCGATGATGCGCTCGCCGACAACAAGTCCGCAGGAGCCGCAGACCATGTCTCCGGAAGAGAACTCCTCGACTAGGTTGGGCGGGTACTCCTTGCAGTCGGGACACATCACAACCATATTGAGATCGTCCCGAAACCCTTCGGCATTTTCGTTGTCGCTGGGAAGCATCTTGGGCTTGTACTTCTTGGGTGTATAGATGTTGTTGTTTTCGTCAAAAACCTTGCGGCGACGCCTGAGCTCCTTTCTTCTACGCCGGAGTTCTTGCCGCTTGTTGACGACCGCCTTGTGGTTGCCTGACGGTTCTTTGACGGTGTGTGCCTGAGTCCAGAGGAGGTCGTTGGTGAGTTGGACAAAGAGCGGCGAATGCAGCTTGGCGGTGTTTAAAGCAGTCGCGGTGCTGTTTGAGACGGTCGCGATTGCTGGTCAGAGCGATCGCGTGTGCCGTTCGGGATGGTCGCGGTTGTCGTTTCGGACGATCGCGGTCGGTATTCGGGGGGCGGTTGCTGTTTACGACGACCGCAGGTGCTGTCCAGGAGTCGAGATGCACTTCTCGAGTCCTTCTTGACAATGACGACGTTGTGTCAGGGAATCCTCAGACGGCTGATCGCTCTTTCTTTGTTGAACGGCGGTAGACTCGTTCAGCGGGGAAGCTGCGAATGCGCTGGAGATGCCCTACAAAACATTTCAGGTGAGCCATGGTTCCTGACTTTCGGCAGGAAAGTTTTCCTCTCTCACCAATTAAGACGACGGTGGTAAAGTCGCAGGAGAGGATAAGGGCTCGAGGAGAGTCGAGGAGAGAAGGAAAGTAGAAATGCAAAGGTGTCCTCCTTTCTTGCCAGCCGACCGATTTCTACCAGTGAAGGCGTCCGAGAGTGGCGAAACAAAGAACCACCCGAGTCCCAGTTCCCAGTCCAGATCACGGAGCAGTCGGCTCGAAGGGGTCGTATGCGACGGTTCGCAAAATGATTGCTTTCAGAAGACGCAGGGCCGAAACGGGCGATGAGGCTTCTGAGATGCGGTTTTGCGGTGCTGCAGACGATCTTCGTGAAGGCGAGAGAGCGAGTGACGTTGGTGGGTTGTAGGGGGGGAAAACCTGAGCCTCTGTTTTGGGTTGAGGATGCCACACTTTAGCCTTCCATCTACTGGAGCCTAGCGAACACAGGTGAGGCGGTAGGATGAGTCAGCTGAGGCCTCATTTTAAGTTCAGGCTTTTCAGTGGCAGGCACTACCCGTGGACCATCACGTGGGGCTCCTTCATCTTCAGGTTTGTCAGCTTATGGAACACGTCTGGACCTGCAATTTTCGGTCCACCGAAGCTTCCAGGTTACTGGGTAGGCGAAAAGATTTCCCATGATACCTCGACATCTTGAATACCTTGCAGTCATTCTCTAGTCTCCAGAGATTTATAAACAAAAGAAATGAACGTTCTGAATATGTTCAGCGTTGGGTATCAATACAAAAGAAAAGAAGGTAAAGAAAGATACATGAATCTCATGATGAGAGACAGACAGACACGCCATGTCCGGCGCACTCCATCAAAAATCACCATACTCCCCGCCAGTTTAATCCCACCAAATCAAATACAAATGCGCCTTGAATGCATCGTCTCCTGACAGGCCATCGTCATCCACCTCACTGCAAATGCACCGGCGCATCAGACGGCCTCGGCAGCGGTGGCAACGCCCTCGACACGTCACTGCCACTGCCGGTGGGCATGTAAACCACCACCGGCGTAGCAGGTGGGGGCACCGGTTTCCTGATCAGCGTCCGCGTCGGCGACGGCGTCCTCGATCGCGGGGGCAACGGGATCTCCACCTCCACGCCCGGATGTGGCTCGGCGTACGCTCTCTGCCGCCTGCTGCCGTCCGACGAGGACACGCACGAGGACGAGGACTCCGAGTCGGACCGCGCCCGCCGCGCCTCGCTGGGCGCCCACTCGCTCCCCATCATCGCCTGCTCGTGCTGGTTGTGGTATTGCTGCTGTTGGCGCTGCTGCTGGAGGTTATCGCGGTGCTCGCACGGCGGCTCCGGCATCCTCGCCAGCGCCGCGTGCCGCCGCAGCGTGCCCAGGTCGAACGCCTCCTCGTCCTCCTCGCTGGAGGAGCCCCGGCTGGTGGACCGCGAGGGCGTCTTGCTGGCGAGCGACTTGCGGATCATGATGCTGCGCTGCAGCTCCTCCTCCTCGAGGCGCTCGAGGGCGCTCAGCTTGCGCCGCCGCGTGAACTCCTTGCGGGTGAGGTACGGATCCCGCTTGCACGCCTCGCGGAACTGGCGGTTCTTTTTGCGGTCAAAGATGTAGAAGAGGGCGGCCGACATGATTGCGGAGCCGCAGAGGATGATGACGACGATGAGGACGGTGGTGGTGTTGGTTGTTGTCGTGTCTTCGGCGGTGGTGCTGCTCCCCGGTGTGCTGGTGCTGGGGCCGAGACCGTTGCTGCTTGGTATGCTGTGGTCTCCCGGGGATGTGTCTTGTGATGATGCTGCTGTCGCTTGTACTTGTCTGACTCTGACTGCGTTGGCGATGGCAGATGCCATTCTCCCTGTCCGTACTTATACTGACGTGTGGAGAGAGAGACGGGGAGGGAGGCGTTTATTTGTTGACAGCGGGCTAGAACCACAGACACTGAGCTTGCTGGTCGGTTTGTCTGTGTCTGTCTACCCGCCGGCCTTGTCCTCGGAGGGGAAGCGCAAGCTTGTCGATGGTGCCGTTATAGTGTGCGCCGGCGCCGGTCTCCGGTGGTGCCAGCTGCTCGGATATGGTGGGGGTGGAAGAGGCAGAGGGGGGTGGCGGGTGTGTGTAAGTGACTCGATGTGAAGAAGAAGTGCAGGTCACTGATACTCCGGACAACTGCACAAAAGCAAGCACAGCAACATCAGCAGCATGCCCCTTCACAATGACTCCCGCTCGAGCTTTCAATGTCGAAATGCAGTTCTGCGCTGACCTAGAAAAGAGTCCGTGTCGAGGGGCAGAAGAGGTGCGGGATGGGAGATCCTTAAGACTGACTCCCTTCCCACCATCTCAAGAGCTACCTACCTTACCTACCTTAAGTGCAATCAGCACAGCTTCAAATGCAGCAGTGTGAACCCTGGCATGGGTTCACTGCGGTGCAAGAGCACGAGCAGAGCACTGCCAGGCGGATCGTTGGCCGTTTCCTCGAGGACCCATGAACAGGGAGTGTGCATAACGAGGCATGGTTGCAAGGGTACAAGTATCGGTATTGGGGGGGAAAGAGAAACAAAAAAGAGGGCACGTTTGGGAATAGCAACAGCGACAAACCAGCTAGAGCAGGCAGATGCCCAGCAGCGGCCCAGAGAGGCAAGGCACACTGTCTCGTGGACGCATCGCTGCAGGACGCCATCAGAGCGGCCATCATTGGCTGCGCCATTCTTCCCGGCCCCCATGTCCCGTTACCCAAACCCGCTCTGCCGCCCGAACCAACAGCAGCCCAGCTGAACCCCCCGGGGGGGTCTTTGGTGCCTAGGAGGGGCGTGTAGGATGATACTGAATTGTAATGGCATCTGTCCATGACGAGGTTTTGCCTTTTCTTCTTCTCTCTTCCTGCTGTTATCCTCAGTAATCTGCGGGAAGAGACAGAATTGCAGGATCCAATGCCATGTCCGCCTGCCCATCCGCTCATCTCGACGTGAAATTGAGCCTTTGGGGGCACCGCCGAGGCTTGACGGATCGCTTTCCCGGCGCGTGCCTCGTCTGCCTGGTGATTTCCGTGGCTCTGTGGAATTCAGTAGAGGCGTCACACGTCGATCGGCCTGTCGGAACTGTGGCGGTTGAGGTGAGCAGCGCTGCGCGGTTGTGTTGCAATTGGACCGCTGTATGCTGTACCACTCTCGCCCACTGCAACAGCCCAACTTAGAACCCTCGTCACCGGGGGCTGACGGAAGTGTGGTGCGCTGAGCTTGTTGGATGAACCGAGGAGAACTTTCCTCTCCAGGCTTGGGGTACGTGGTTTCCACAGGGGCCCACCCCCCCAGCGAAGGAACCCGCGAGGCGGAGCTTGAGGGGGGGAACCCCCGGCCATCAGTGTGTTCGCGGTTTAGTCAGGCCTCTGTGGGCTGGCTGACATTTCCCCCAACTTCCTTCATCGAGTCACTTACACATCACACAATCATGCGATGAGGCCGGCGACAACGGTCGAACCGGGCTGGGCTGGCAAAATAGGGGCAAAACAAAGAAAGAAAACAGACTCACGGAACTTGCAAGCTCAACATGCTCGTGGCGAGCGGCCGTAGGACCGTTTATCCCACGCCGTCTGGGTTCTGGCCCGCCAGCCGCTCCTTTGTCTTTCATGAGCCTATTCTTTCCCACATCCTACAACGACTCGACCTTCGCACTCGCAACAAAGGAACGCAGCGTGGCCCATCGTGCGATTAAACATGGGCTGGGCCCGCCACCAGCAACGGCTACCCAGCAAAAAACACGAGGCGGGCGGGAAAAGCCTCTTCAAAAGCCTCTTCAAATCGCCAGGGGGAACAATAAACAAACGCTGGTCGAACGAACGGGCAGCCTCGGCCTGTTTTCCAAATCCAACCGGCCAGTCGCTTTGTAGAAGCATGCCTGGGCTCGAGAAACAAGGGCATTCAGCAGAAGTCTGGCTTGCCCTGCAACTCTAAACTATGCCCATTTCTACCCTCCACTTCAGGGGCGCACGCAGCAACGCATGGAGCCTCCCTCTTTGTCCTGTGCACCCGTTTCAACGGGCTGCAGTGTGGTGTTTGTCCGGGGTTCCCCCCCTTCGGAATTCGCACGCGGGCCAAAAACCGCAAGAGGCATGATATTCAGAGTTCGTCTCCAGTCCGCGGGCGCTGCGCTCTTTGCGACGACCATGTACCGAACGTCTCAGGAAACGATGCTCGGTGCGGAGAGATACCGGAGGTCATTAGGGCTCCTCCCCCTCTGCCCCTCTTGCGTCAACATCGAACACAGGACGACGGCACATACATCAGACAGAGTACGGATAGATGTGAACCTCGGACCCGGACTCCGACCCCGGAAAGGATTAGGCTGACAGACGGCTCGTCCACGATCGCGCACCCGCCAGGCGACTTCAGTCCCGGGTCGGTTGGTTGGCAGGTTGCCCGCTTCTTTTGATAGCCCGGCCCCCATCCGTTGGATCTTCAGTCAGACTTCGTCATAAATCTACCACCGGCTCTTAAGGCAGCTGCTGAGAGGGGAAAAAAAAGGCTTCAGTCCGCGCCGTGGTCTATTCAAAATCGCCCCGCTCGCTAACATGAACCAAGTACGGGGAGTGCTTAGTGGCGGGGTAAACGCAAGACATAAGCCAAGTTATCCATCCGTACAACAGCGCGGCGTCAAACTCTCTTGCCTGTACGAACTGATCGGCCGTGTAAACAGGCTGCAGGCCCCAATTGGGGGAGACCCGCCCCGCGATGCTGCGCTTCTTTGCAGAGTGACACCACATCACAGCACGGCCTCAATAGTCCGCTTGCTGCCTCGATGCGACGGGGTGGAGTTGAAACATTGTTTCTTGGCCAAGATGATATTGTGTTTGCGTTTCCTCGTTTGTCAGAGGATATCCATCTATTGACCAGAACAGCGCGCGCTCCATTCACGAAACGTCGAGGATGCCTGGGCTTCCGGAGCAGAGTCGAAGTCATCCCATCTCACATAAAAACTCACCCCCAGAACCTATTTTAGGTTCAAGTTCGCACACCCGACGGTCCCCTAGAACACCAATCGGTGAATGGCGACTGGACCGGGTACCTGAAAGGATTTTTTGAATTGAGTTGTGCGTGCAAACAGCTACCTAATCCGCAAACCCGTCTCTAAAACCCGTCTCTAAAACCCGTCCCTCCGACGACACAAAAGCCAGAAACGCCATGCAGTCAGCTTCATAACGTGCCGACTTATGCTGATCCTCCCGTCCACCCGTCGAACCCGATGAACCCCTCCGCGGTCTGCTAAACCCCGCGATTGGGTTGGCTATTGTAAGCTCCTGCAAGCCGTGCCGCTCAGCGTGCCATTTCGTAGTGCGGACCCTCGGCTTGCTTAACCGCCCCGGCACGCTTACTCGACGATCGCCAACTGAGACTTACCCCCTCCCCCTCGCTGTGCACCCGGAATTGGTATCATTATCGCGGCACATGGGAGAGACACAGAACAAGGGGAATGAAAGCGGGAAATGGCGTGTGTTGGGTGAAGCCGACGGCACAGAAGCGCGGCTGTGTAAGCGGACCGCGGCACGGGAATCCTGCCGTGAAGAGACAACCCCACCTTGGCGATGTGATATCCTGCCCGTCACTTGAAGAAAGGCCCCCGTCTGTAGGGCCGAACGATGGCAAGGTGAAAAATGACATGCCGCCGCCTAGGCGCAGCGGATTTGTGCCCTCGGCTCGCTGCCTGAAGACCACGAGACGATCTTGCTCTTATTCAGGACCGTTTGGGGCTGTTGGTGCGTGGAGATGAGGGAGAGAAGGTGACCTCGACATGCACGTCCAGTAATCGCTCGCCGCTCAGCCACCAGACGAGCGGCTGCGCCGGAGACATGCCGCCGTGTGACGGCGAGCGTCTTGGGCCCCCGCTGTTTTTGCCGCAGTCAGGCCGGGTAAGGATGCACGATGATGGGTTTGGGAAGCAGCCATGGGTTGTGCCAGTCATTTGCGACAAGTTGTCGTTGGTGATGAGTGAGGAGGCCCTACGCTGGGTTAAAGCCTCGAGGCGGAGCGGGTTCGTTGAAGGGGCAAGGTCTTAGCTTCTTGGTGGTGTCCACCATAGGTTCGTTGGCTTGCGCGGGGAGCCTTGTCTTGGACCCCCGGCCCCCAATTGATCCACTAATCAGTAACCCCTCCAGCGCATCGTGTGATTTTTTGGCGGTTGAAGGTGGCGATGCATTCACAGTGTTGCTTGACGAACAGTGTAGGCATCACGACTTGGAAAACTTGGAAAAGACCATGTTTCCTGGGTATCATTTTTTTTGGCCTTCTTCGCCGTCTGGTATATATGAGGAGCGCTTGTTGGCCCCCGAAAACGTATTCACAAGTGGTACGGGTCGTCATTCCTCATAATGTAAATCTCCCCCACGAGGACCGTGCAGCCGACGGTCATGGCGATGGCGATGATGGGAACGTTGACGCGGGCAAACTCCATCCTGCGGATGTGAATGTGCTTCCTTTCGAGGATGTCACGCCACAGCAGCCCTGCCAACGATGCACTAAAGGCGGTACTGAAGGCGCCGTAGTTGACGCCGAGCGCCATGCTGTACACCGTCGCCCAAAACGTCCGATCGCTAATGTCGCTGCTGCCGGGTACCATGTGTATCCTCTGCCAAGCTTGGATGACCCGTGATAAAAGGATCGTAGTGCCGATATTAGTTCCTGCAAACTAGAAAGCCACCAGAGTAAGCATATATGAAACGGCGCTCGATAATCTCGGGGAGACTCACATTGCAAAGGATGACCGAAAGGAAGCCCATGCCGCCGATTGCGCCGATGGTTCCCGTCTTTTCCACCCAGTGATCCCATCCGTAGGCAAATACCGGAACCCAGCCCTTGGTGACGAGTGCCTGCACTAGGACGAACATTGCAAAGGCGAACGGAACGAGGGCAAAGGGCAGATGCGATATCACTGCCATCACGGTGGGGAACGTCTCCTGCGACCATCGATAACCATCCCTGGAGAGGGACACAAGCGTCCGCGGCTGGGGCTTTTTCGTCCGGCTCACTGTGATTTCCTCCAAATCGCTAGGCCGCTTCTCGTTGTTCACGCCCGTCATCAGGACACCTCCTGCTGGAGAGCCAGATTCATTCGCATGAGCCAGCTCATCCCTTTTCTCCGAAATGGTGAGGCCGCTGCTGGATGGCCTACTGTTATCTGCCGCATTTCCCATGGCCGTGGACATGGACGACTCCAGACGAGGACTTGACTCGGGCGTTGGGCTAATGCTGGCATCTCCTGTTGGGCCAGCAGGCGTGAGCGTGAGCAGAGGAGTGAGTCCTCTGCCGGGGCTAACAGGTGGTGTGTCGTAGTCTCCATTTTTCATGCCATCCTTTACATCAGCATCGGCGTCCTGGACGTGAATTTCGGGCCAGGCTTCTCTGGAGAGACTTCTGGTCATCGACAGCATCTCTGTACCGACCTCCGTGGATATCCCCCTGCCTTCAAAATGCTCTCTGTTCCTCTCCTGCCTCAAGGCCCTTTCCATTCGGGCTCGTTCAACCTCTTCTCGCCCTCTGCGTGCGATTGCGCGAGTCTCCTCTCTGTGAATCCACCCAAATGCAAGGTCCCAGCAAAGCATGACAAAGGCAGCAGGTAGTGTGACCCAAAAGACCTGAAAGTGCTCATCATTCTTCGTCTTGACGCTAGCAGCGTTGATGGCTAGGACGGTGATGAGTGTTACCGACATGATGATGGCACCGAACGCTGCGCCACCTTTATCCAGAAAAGGGTTCATGATCTCAACGAGGGAAAGAAGTTGGCCCTGGTCATCGTTTGTATGAGTCTCTTCATCCTCATCTGCGGTACCCCTGGCGTTGGGGATGTTGGGGTTGACGGCAGGTTTCAGTTTGGCTTCTGCTGGCAGCTCGCGCATCTTGATGGAGACGGGAATGAGGCCCTCGTTGGCAAAGACGATATACAGCAGAAAGGGGAACAAGACAGTGGCCGTCACGACAACCGGAACCACCATGTTGGCGGTGTACCCAATGAACTTGATGTTGAAGGCTCCTGCGAGGACGAGATTGGTCGGGTTGGACGAGACGAGGATTGCCGAGGCGATGTTGGCTATAGAGAACTGAGTAAAGATCCAGGCTCTCGGATGTTTGATGTTGTTCGACACGCGCGTCATGTAGGCGAGGAAGGCGGTGCCTGAAAGAATAATCGGGTCGTTGCCGATGAAGGTGCCCAGGCCGAAAAAGAAGGCGTACAGGTAGAAAAATAGCCTGTGGCCGACCTTGCCTCCCCATTGCAGAACTTTCAGAGCCAGATACCTGATGAGGCCGGACGCGTCGATTGAGATTGCGATGTAGGCTAAGGTGATGAAGAAGATCATGATGTCAAGCGGAAAGATGCCATTGTCTCCCAGAGTGCCGGCCTTGACTTCGTCTCTTCCGATGGCCAGGATGGCAAGGAGGAAGAGGTCGGCGATGAGGGGCGCCGTGACAGAGTTCATGGGGAATCTCTTGCGCACGAACTGGCTGGCACCACCGTCGCGACGGTCATGGTGAGAGTCCTTTTCTCGTGGTGGTATCACACGTAGAGTACTGAGAGAATCCAGAACAGCGTGCCAGAGTCGCACGGGAATGTAGACTGGGATGTGGAAAGGAAACAACACGACAATGTCTGTGCTTCCGTGTTAGTCGCGATATCCCAGCGGGGTGACGCTGCATGTGCAAAGACAGGCGGGTAATTGCATGTACTCACTGGCGAGGAAAAAGACGATGAGGGTGACGATAGACCGCCATTCTCTGATCTGGTCAGTCTCGATGCTGACATCGGAGAGGTCCATCGTGGCGATTGAACTTGGTTCAACCACCACGGGATGACGCAGCAAGGCCTTGTTCGCAAACACAACGGTGAGATGAGGCTGGAAATGATCTTGTGCCGCACTTCATGGTGTTGCAGGCTGAAAATTCAGGTTGAGATTCAGGTCCAGGTCCAGGCTCTGGTCTGGGGGAAAGAAGCGGCGGGGGGACAGAGAGAAAACACCACTCACGGCAGGCACTCTGTGTCTTGCTGTTTCCTTGGCAAATAGAACCAGCAGGTGCCCCGGTCAGATCAGCCCTAGCGCCTTCCGAATGAAACCTGACGTCGTCTCCCATTGGGCTCGATGCAAGGCCCCCGCTTTTCTATGTTGAACGACAGGCTGCAGAGTGCTTTTCTCCGTCTTTTTACTGGCTGCGAACCATGTCCGTTCTCAAGTGCTCCTTCTGATGCTTTCCGCGGCCAATTACCTCACCTCAATGCCAACTCAGTGCTGACTTTTCTCCCCTTCACGTTAGTCCAAGCAGCCGGCCGTTTAAGTTGCCTAGCCTATTCATCCCGCTCAGCAGCCAACGCCCGACGGATATTAGGATTATCTGACTGGTAGGAGCAAACCTGCATCATCGACATGCTGCGCCACCTCCGGAACTGGAATGACAGCCAGCAGTGCTTGTTCAATCTTTCCACGCTGTCTTGCCCCAGAGGTCCAGAGGCCGCCGCACTGCTTGGCTTGTCTCGATATGAACAGCCATGAGCCGCACCCGTCACGCGACCACCTACCTACCTTAACTTACCTGTCCGAGGCAGCCCTCTTCCAGCGCCCGTTCCTGTCCCTGAAAGCTTGGAATGCGATGCCCGGGAACCTTCTCCGCTTCTCACACTACCTCGGGGGGAAGAAAAAGAGGAACGAGCCCGCGGTTCCATATTGACGTCTAAATTGCCGGGCGATTACCGGGCCATTGGGTTCATTTCTTCTTCAAACCAACACTCGAAGATTGTGGAGTTTCTCCTAAGCTTGTGTCCAGTTTTAGCCGGCAGCTTGCAGCGGCTCCGGCTCGGCCGTCATCTATGGCACCCCTCGCATCGGCCGCTTTGCTGCACTCCCTCTTCCGCCGAGACGACGATGCCGGTGTAGGATCCTCCTGCGACGGGGTCAACGGCCCTTGTATTGAGGTCGTCTGCGCCTGGCCGCTGTCAGGTCAATATGGTTTCGGCCAGCGGATCTTGTAAGTGAAGCTTCCCCACTCCTGGCAAATCGGCAACTCAACCGAGTGAGGAACTTGGCGAATGCTTGTACCAACCTTAGTGATGGGACGAAACATTTCTAGCGCAAAGGCTAATATCACGCCTCAGATACTACATCCTCGTCGTCGTCTGTGTCGTTGCCCGAAAGGAGGAATGGATTCGGGCTGTCTGTCAAGCAGCCGCACTGCTCGTCCCCGCTGTAGCTGCCATCCATGGTATCGTCTTGGCATCGATGCACGTTGATGGTGAGTCCGAGACACGCCCCTTCCACCACCTAAGCTTTTCGGCTAACGGCTTGACGACACAGGTGCCACAGACATGGACATATACGGGGCCCTGCAGTTTTGCTCAATTGGCATTCTAGCGGCACCCGTGACTGTGAAGCTATCGTCAACCTTCTTCTACGACCCAGGGAGAAACATCATCTTCCTGTGGACGGGCCTTATCCTGTCCGGTTAGTGGCAGAGCCGTTCCGAAAATGTGAACCTGCTGACCAGATCCAGGTCTGCTAAGTTTGGCCGTCGAATTTTATCGCTCCAATACCCATCCATGCGTGACGGGGAACAGCTTAATCCCCAGTCTTAGGAATTTTCCCTATGGAGAGGAAGATCTATGCGGCCTCGTTTGCTCTGAAGATAGGGGCCCGTTTTCCAGTCTTCGGCAGGGTGCGACAAGCGAGATTTATGTCGTTCCCAAGCCTGCGACGCTACCTTTCGGTATGGCCATGTTCCTCGCCGCCGCCGAATGTGTTCCGGCCATTCTCTCGTTGGTTTCTATGTGGAACAAGATTTTGGAGATCAATTGGAAACGAGGGAAAGGGTCTCCAGACAAAGAGCGGATAGAGGACCAGGGCATCATCCCTGGGACGAATGGTGCCACTTTGAAAGGCATGAAGGACGTCAACCAGGCCATCAGATCACTCTTGAGTGCCGTTGAGGTTCCTGTTTTTGGGGGTGCCTGGCTTGCTGTTCTCATCATAGGCGAGATCAACTTTTGGAGCCCCCAAGTCAACTATCACACGGAGCCGATTAGTAACATTGGTTGGTGGCCCTCTGCTTTCCGGGAACTACCTTAGACTAACAATTCCAGGCCAATGGGGGACTATCCTTGGGACTGGGATGGCAGGGCTGGGTTCGCTCTACGTCTGGCTTGCAGACAGTAACGGCGACCTAGCAAATCCCACCACAACTCACTGCAACTGTCCGCACTACCATGGTCGTGAACCACCGGACGGAGTACTAAATGGAGAAGTAAGCCCGCGAGCCAGTACAGCCCACCGAGAATTCCAAGAGCGCACTGGATCAGAAGCGGGACTTTCCATCGCGACTTCCACAGCGCCTTCCACGGGGGAATGGGTACCCAGACGAAAGATCGCCAATGCCTTGGGAAAAATTGGCAACTACTTTGGCAATCCAGCGAAAGATCCTTTTGGTGCTGGGGATTATAAGACTGGGGAATGGCCTCGGATTCCAGGAGAAGCCCATCGAAACAGCCAGATGGCGGAACACGACGACCGGTATAGTATCATGGAAGGGCCGAGCAGCTCGCGTGATTCTGCCGACGGCAGTTCGAGCAGCGACAGCGTCTCGGGAGCTCCAACGCCTGCCTCACCCACGTCGCCCACGTCGCCGACATCAGTGTCCTTTTCGCCTCGAGCGAGAAGTCCGAGACCACACTCTAACTCGTTTCCAGCGCCGCGAGCAGCTTCTCGTCATTCTTCATTCGATCAAGCGAGACCAACAGCGCCATCTCACGATCCAAGAGGTCGCTCGCCGTTGCGTCGCGCAACACTCGAGGTGCCGCCGTCGGCTCATCATCGATTTTGAATTTTCGATATCTATAATGCAGACGCAGTCGATCTCATTGGAGACTCCTTGGGGCTGGCGTCCGAAGAGATGTCGGGAAGTTATGCACGTTGCAGCTGCAGACTTGACATATTGTTCTAACCACAGTCACGCCCAACCTAGAAGTATCATGGCGTTTGCTTGTTTGGAAAATTTAAGGCGCAACATGAAGGGGCAGGATGGAAACTAGACATGAAATGTACGATGGATATAAAATCCGCTTATAAATGAGGGTGTCAGGGAACCTTTTGGACGCTGGAAGCAGGGACCACTGCCTGTCAGTGCCACACAGTGCCAGACATAGTATGATTGAAGATAGAAACAGTGTAAACGAACCAATCGCACCGCGCAGGGGAAGACTCCAATTATTTTTTCCCACCTTGAACCTTTGAGCCTTGTCTCGCGTCGCGACTCCATCTCCGACCTGCGCTACCAACCGTTCAGCCTCGCACACCCGCTCTTCGGAACCGAGGCCATTGACAAAGCCACAACCCTCTCATCACCCCGCGCATACCTCCTCGGTCGCCTTCAATATGGGAGGCAGAAGGTCCAGATCAGGCAGAGCTGCGGCGAAGCGCGCCTCTGCCGCCCTTCGTGAGTACAACCTTTTCCTCGTCTTCCCTTGCGACAGCTCTACAACTTTGGGAACATGCTTGTTCCAGAGAGCGTCATGTTACAGTCAAAGGACTTGAATGCGTGTACTTGCTTGGAGCTTCTCGGCTGGTCAATGATTGTTGGGTTGGCGCGCATCTCCAAGCATCCTCGCCTGCCCCTCCTTCCTGAGCAGCTGCCCATCCACCCGCATGACAGAACATCGTCTAACCACCATCGTCAATCTAGAAAGCACCCCCAGAGCATTCGAAGGCATCGACGACGACGAGCCTGTCGCCGAGGCTGTCGAATCCGAGCCCGAGGTCGATGCGCCCCCCGAAGACGATGAGGAGGAGGAGGAGGAGGAGGATGACGACCAAAAGGCGGATGAGTCCGGCGAAGAGGACGCCGGTGACGACGATGGCGAGGAGGAGCCGGCCAACGACGACGGGGACGACTCAGAGCCATCGGCCAAGGAGCCCACGCCTCCGACCGAACCAGTCGTTCGCCGCAAGCGACTCGGAAGACCACCAAAGAACAAGCCCCCTGGCTGGGACAACATGATCACCGTGCCCGCCTCCGAAGCCGACACACCCCGCCGGAGAGGCCGCGGTGGCTGGCGTGGAAGGGGCGGTCGCAGACCACAGCCTGGCCAGGCTCCCCCGAAGCTGAGGCAGGTCATCGACAAGGAGGGCACGGAGGTCGATATTGTCGACGACGAGTGCGTGCTGCCCGAAGACTCGGAGGGCGAGACGAAGGTGGACAAGCTGGGCAACCTGCTTGGTGGTCGTCAATACCGTTGTCGAACGTTCACCGTCAAGGACCGCGGTGAGAGGCAGTATATGTTGTCCACGGAGCCCGCGCGTTGTGTCGGTTTCAGGGACAGTTACCTCTTCTTCAACAAGCACCCTAAGCTGTACAAAATCATTGTCAGCGACGAGGAGAAGATGGACATGATTGAGCGCAACATCATGCCGCATTCATACAAGGGTCGTGCCATCGGAATCGTCACGGCTCGGTCGGTGTTCAAGGAATTCGGCGCGCGCATCATCGTCGGTGGACGGAACATTATTGACGACTACCGTGTTGCGGACCAGCGCGCGGCGGGTGTCGTCGAAGGAGAGATTGCGGACCCCAGCGACGTGTTTGATCCCTCTCAGGACTACAACACGAATCAGTACGTTGCGTGGTTCGGTGCGAGTGCGGTGTACCATACGAATCAGACGCCAGCTGCCGCGGATCCTCTTGCGGGTTTGACAGAAGTGAAGAAGAAGCGGGTCAACGTGAACGACACTAACTGGCAGTTGGAGCACGCCCGTGCCGCTAGGTAAGTTATTCTTGAGCAACAACAAACGAGGCAGTACTAACAAGATCCAGCGAGTTCAACTCCCGCCTCAATGCAATCCGCAATCTCAACCTCCAGAAGGGAGCCTACGATATCCACACCAACCTCATGCAACAACCCGTCAACACGCAGCCCACTCGCGCAAGAGTCGAGGTCGTCAACCCAGACGACGCCGCCGATCCAAAGTCCGCCTTCGCTGCCGTCTCACCTGCTGTACAGCGCAATTTCAACGTCGTTGACATCGTGTACGAGACGCCTCGCGCAGGCGTCCAGTCTGCTGGCAAGCGTCCCGACAACGTCCCCGATTTCCTCAAGCCCTTCAACGGCATACTCGCTATCGGCGACGACCTCAAGGCCCTCTTGCCTCCCGAATGCCGCGAGTCGCTGGAGCGCCACCAGGCCGAGCAGCGGGAGTTTGAGACCCGCTTCGGCGACGAGAAGGACACCATGGCGCGGGGCGGACTGCTCATCGACAAAGCCATCGTGCCGCAGGGCAAGCATTCCTAGGAGGAATCTGTGTTTCTGAACCAAGGTTACTGGACCACGGACAATCGGGTCGAGAGCAGCTACACAAGGGCCGGATGCAACTTTTGCGGGGGCCCGGTTGGCGAGTGCGAGCACATGCAGCCTTTTCTGGCTTGGAAGATGCCCCAATGGGAAAGCGGTGACGAGGTGAAGATGGTTAAGACCGATTTGTAGCCACAGGGCAGCGACTGCTGCGCCCTTGCCATCTCGCGACAGAGGAGTAATTGATTATGGGGGAGGGGATTGTTTGGCCCGGCGTTCAGGGAGGAAAGGGGAATCATCGGACTGGTGGCGGTCACTGCCATGCGTAATATCTTTTTATTTCACATCAAGGGAACTGACTGGCTTGAATGAGAAAGAAGTCTAGCGGAGGTCTCTGGATTAGATGCGGGGGGCTGTATGTAGGACTAGACGGATGAATCATGAAATCGAGAAAGGCCCAGACATGTTGCACTTTTTCCGGTCTTGCGAGATGTGACTGCGTGAAGGACAAGAGCCTTTTGGAGATACTGGTCGCGGTTCTATGTTGATGTTGCTACGTTGCTGCTCTCATCTTTGCTTTTCGCTCTTCTAGCTGCCAGATCCATCCAGGGCCCACGATTACTGTGTCGAAGCTCACCTCATCCTGGCATGCCAGCCTGTTGCCTTCTTATTTGTAGTTCAACAGGGCTTGGTGGCAATTTTGCCGACAAAATCGCTGGCTTCACTTTTCTGTGAGGAACATTGGTGATGTTGAACATCACAAATACGCCATCGAGAGGCCAACATTGACTTCTCATGGATTCGGGATATCGGACGGCACCCGGCTCTCAGCGTAACTAGCATCCATCAAGCTATAATCGTAAGGCATGCCGCACGCCAGTAGCACCTCATATTCTCTCTGCGTCGTCCTACATAACCAGCTTGATTTTAAAGTACCAGGGCCAGAGGCTGCAGGCTCAGAGAGCAGAGTGGACAGAGAGGCATAGCTCCAGCAACGTGAATGGAGATGTGTGTAAGAAGAGGAGTGTGACTCGAGGAAGACTCACATTTAAGAGCTGGCAGGCAGCTCCTTCTATCGCCTTGTGTAGTTAGTTCACGGGTAGTAGATATGCGGAGGTTCGTCGTTAATAGAGGTCTCCTTGCTTTGATAGCTTACGTTTACTATTTGAGAAAACCTCTGAACTTATTTGAGGTGCTAATCAACATGAATTCATTCAATAACATTTCATAGATCAAGAGAGTTCGTTGAGGCTGTTTAGATTTCTGTCCCGCTCAACTTCTGACTTTGTCCCGTGCAAAAAACAACTACACCATTAAACAACATTATAAATCAATACTTTTTACCCTCTGACCTATAGATTGCCGTTGTCACCCCTACTCACGCTCTCTCAACTCCGGAGATGAGAAAACCAACCCACAAGTAAGGATAGTCCCCCAAACATCCCAACTCAAGCTCCCACACACCCATTCCACACCTCACAGACATGCCGCCTCCCAACCCGCCTCCATTCACCTCAACCTCAACCTCAACTCCCCAAAGACCCTGGCCTCAGATCCCCGTCCTCTCCCGTCCCTGAACCCCGAAAAAGGCCTAAACCAACGCTCGTACGCCGTCCTTATCACGCCACCCTGTGATCCGAGTTCGTCCTTAACTCAGTCCATGGCCTGACTTCCAGACCGGATAAAACCACAAGACATGAGAAGTAGAGCGAAAAAGCGTCACATGGACAGTTCTCCTTTTACGCGACACTCATCGGGTCCTCTGTTATCCCTCTCTCCCGCCGTCAGTGCCCCCTCTCCCTCGCCCAGACGATTCCTGTCGCCGCTGGTGTTCACGTCAAAGCGGTTCACGCAGGCACCTCTCGTCTGAAGAAAGGGCATACGATAGGCCACCTTTTGCATACGAGATGGTAAATATAGGCAAGAGCCGTCACTCTGAGTTACATGTTCGAGGTGTTGACATCATCCGTTTCTCGGTCAAACTAGTTTTCTGCCTCCCTCCCCCATTGTTGCTGGCCTTGGTAAAGGCCGTCAACTGGAACTGCTCTTCATTTTCATACCGACGTCGGCGATGGTGCTGCATACTCGAGGCAAGAATGCAGATTTTCTGTTGTATGCATGTTTGACTTGTTCACAATCGCAATTCTAGCGGTTCAGGCGTGGTTTATATCAAAAGGCAACCAGTAGCACAAATGCCGTAGATATGTGTATCGCACAGCAACGGAGGCTTCCCATACCATCAACTCCGTCACATGATACCCGCGTACATCAGCCGTAATCCCCCACGGCATCAGGCGTCTGCTTTGCTTGAATAAAACATACCATATCAAGCTCAGGTCATCGCAACTGTCCCCCGTCTCGTCCAAGCAGGACCCTTTCTTCCGTCCAGTCTGGGTATGCTTTTATGCTTTCCCACGTCACAAAGCTCTGGAGGGGGCCAACACAAATGTTCGGGTGTTATCCGATCAAACAGCTCACAAGGCGACCGAGCTCCGGAAGTCTAAACGGATTCTCGGGACCGAATGGTTTGTAACCTTGTTCTCTATGAGCAGCTTTTCTTCACATTTTTGGATATGTTGGGCATATGTCTACAAAGAAAGAGAGGCAGTGGGGGTCGTCAACGGCATGAACGCATTGGCTACTGAAGTTCTGCACTTGGGAATGGATGCTGCGGTTGGTCGGGTGGATGCTGCTTCTTCAGTGTAGATGTTGGTGATGGTGCAGCAGGGGAGAAGCACGCGCAGAACGGACCGTCCCTCATGCCAGCACCTGCGTTCACGATCGCACCGTACCGCTGCCGCGTCAGTCGCGCACTCCAGCAGCGCCTACAATTCTGAATATCCTCATCCCGCGAGAACCGAAGAACCAGTCAGCTGAGAGCCTTTCATATTCAGCCCCAGCAGAACACCCATCGCAAGCGCCTCGCTCAAGACTGCTTTCCAGGTTCGTCTTCATCGTAGTCAACGAGGCCGCGGCACAAGTTTACATCTGTCTCCGCAACCAGCTCAAGTCACGCGCACCATCAGATCAAGTCCAGCTCGGAAGAAGCCGACAACCTACCCGACGGCACGATCTGGCATGGAATTTAGGGCAGGGCATGCCCGCGGTCATCGGGGGGCAGCAGAATGCCGTTAGTCGCACAAGCCAGAGCGACCACCCAAGGCAAAGCCCACCTCACAGACCGCAAAGTCCAAGCCTCCAAGTTCAAGCAAGGCAATGCAGAGCAAAGCCAGACCGCAAAACTAAACACCGCCGCAGCAAAAATAAAAATAAAAACCAACCCCTTCCGCTGGTGCAAACCTGCGCGCAGGCAGAGAGACAGACGAAAGAAAGAGCATGACTGCACAAGCATACGTGTGCGGGATCACGCGCCTGTCCGCGGCCTCTAGCAGACTTCCCGGCGTTCGTCGGTGGGCGCAAGGGAGCGCAAGGAAAGGTCCAGAGCCAGCACCCGTTTAGATCGCCGTGCCACTCCGGATGGTTTCTTGTTTGGCTCTGCGATTACCGAGACATTTGCCAGTTCAGAATTAGGGAAGGCGAGACTGTAAGCTACGTAGTTTGGCAGGCGAGTAGAGAGAAAAAGGGTGGGCAGCTGGGTGGTAATTAGTCCGACCTCCGCACGCCGGAGACAAGATGGGTACGTCCAGCATGTACGTCCAACGTCTTGGTCACGTAGACCCTTCTCACCGCTTGCATAGCAGCACCGGTGGTGTTGCATGTGTCATCCATCGCGAGTCCAGCGGTCGCAAGCTCGGTTGAGGTGGATTGGTGCAGGCAGCAAAGCAAGACGCACAACGAATGAACCAACCCAACCATCCCCGGACCACCACGGCCACGCGGTGCGCGCATAGCCGTTTTGCGTTTGGCGTGGTGCCGGGAAGGGAGGTGTGTGTGTGAGTGGCGTGGCGACGACCGACCGACCGAATAAACGTCGAGCCTCCCCTTCGGCAGACGTATTGCACGAAGCGCTGCGTGAGATCACCCGCGACGGTGGCTGCAATATCACACATCAGAGTGATAGTCAGACCACAGGGCGCCTACGCGTGGGAGGGAGTCATCCAGAAAGCAACCTTCGAGGCCGGGTTCCGCGCTGCTGTTGCCCATGTTCCTGCCGGATCTCGCTGCCACAGGCAACAGGAAGAAGACGTCCCGATGCGACACGCATCGGGGGCTCGGCGCGCGAGAACCAGCACCAGGTAGGCAGACAAGACAGGTGTTCAGCGCTTGAATGGGATGAGCAGGCGGAAAGGGAAAAAAGCTAGAATCCAAGAGGGAAGTGATGACGACGGATTGTCCACGCTTGGGTGGGGTTCGGATTGCTGGTTCAACTGTCAAAAGTGAGCAATCCATACGGAACGGGAGGAAGTGCGTGGCGGAGGCACGTCACGCACCGCCTCGTCCGCCGGCTGCTCAGCGCTCATGGACGATCGAACGTTCAGCTTTGGCTTCCTGCGCTGCGGAGGGACAAGAATATCTCGCCCAGCGAACGGTTCCTGGGTAAACAACAGCATGGACGACGTAAGAGATAGGTTACCGACCGCTAACACCCCAGACTAAGCGGCTCTATGCCATAGTCGGGGATGGTGCTGCTGGTCATCACTGTTTCTCGAATGTGTCATGAACAAGGCGCCTGATGCTTTCGTGAGCGACCACGACGTCGCCCATCACTGCCGCTTTCTTTCTTGCGCCGCTCGCCAAACAAGGCACTACTGCAAGCACTGTAGCAAGCGGGTGTACGGTTGGGACCACTGAGGCGAAACCGTATCCCGAGTTTACCCAGACGTCGGCGACGGCGGCGTGTTGTGGAGACTCTTCCCCGGCGGCCGGGACTGAGAACCGCCAAGGTGCAAACAGGTTGGCGGCAAATAGCTTCCATGTTAGTGCAGACGGTGGTGGTGAGCAGCCACCGCTAGCAAAACCAGCCCCTCGTCCTATCGCCGAGTTGGGGAACATTTGGGGGTCACACACCCACACCCGAAAGCCTGCGTCGACGTAACGAT